CTTCTAGGTACGTATGGAGACGTGCTGGGTGCGAAAGAGGGTCACGGGGTTGTTCGCCAACAGGCCGCCGGGCTCACCGCTGTTCTCTCGCCGTCCCCATAACCCGCGTTATCGTGCCTCATGCTCAATCTGTCCAACTCAGACCGCCGAACTCAGGACCAATTAATTCTTGCCAAAACCAAGCATGTCCGTATATTATTCTCTCCCAAGTCCCCGGATCTACTCCATGTCTTTACCGCCATGCCCTGCCCTCTGCATCACTGCCTCTCTCCATGTCCATCCAGTCCGTACATCTCCCCACATCCCCGCTGCTCCCATTCCGTGCCTGCCTCACAGCCGCGATGAGCCTTATGTACAACGCGTCGCCACCACTATCGCCACCGCCGCCGCCGCTGGTCAGATTAGGAGTCCTGCCTGTTAACTTCCCGTCAAAGCTCAATGATAAGAAATCTCTCGTCATGGTCATGTGTGATGTAAAAGTTTAAACTGAGTTCCGGCTTTAAGCCTTGCTAAACAGCGCCAAGCCGTGACCGAGGAATCATCCAAAATCTTACCTGCAACCTTGACGGTCAACACTGCCAGCTCGGTTTGGTCAGAAAAGTGGCTCAAGTTGACTGGCCGTTGTTTGTTGGTACTGCGTGCAGTTGTCGGTGCCGGTATGGTCCAGACAGAAGGCTCGGACCCTTGCAGCCCTCGTCGTCGGTTCCCGGGCGCCCTTGGACGAGTTGGGCCGACAGCGGGGACGTACCAGATCAGGTAGGACTGGAGGCCGGCATAGATATGGGCTTGGAATCCGAGATGATTTGGAAAGTTTTTGTTCGTGTTTCTCAAGCCCGGCGGTCTGTCAAGTATTGGGCGACTTCCCGTAAGGATTTGGAACTGTTTCGTGCTAAAGGATTTGTGAATTATTACGAGAGGTCATCCATTGCATACTGAGCCTTGGTCATCGCCGGCTGTCCTCAATGCTAGGTTTTCAGGGTGATATCTCAACCTTGGCACGAGTAGCGACAACGGCCAGGCGCACGACAAGTTGTCTAAAAAAAACGATACGGACGCCGAATGGATCACATTTCCTCCAGGTAGTGAACTGTTGCCACTCAAATACTCTGTACTATACTTCACTTTTCTTCGGTTCGTTGAATATCGATTCATTTGGGGACCCGGAATATCCTAGTATCTGAATCCAATAGAATACCCCGGACGCTGACTCTGTAGCGCTGTATTATTATGGCTACAGGCGTGGTCTAATTCACGCTGCTTAAACATGACTTCCTTTAAACGGCGCCCAGTTTGGTTCTGCATTGATCACTCGATTGAGAGGCTTGTCAACTCGTTTTGATAGGAAAACTGTCCGTAGTCGGTACATAAGTTTCTCGCGTTTCACCATATTTGCCTTTGGATCATTTTGACCACCGGTGGTGGCGGTGGGCTATTCGCAGTCTGGATCGTAGGAAGCCGTTCGCTGGTGGACTTTTCGACCCTCATGAGGAGAAAGATTATCAGTGCTCAGCAGATCAGAGTCTTGGCTGGAGTCTCATATGTTTGTGTTATGATAGAAAGTGCTATTCCCGGCTAGCTTGTAATTAGGGCTTCTGAATGAATCCCACAGAACAAGATGACTTCGGATAGTTCCTGATACCGTTTTGATATGGTGGTTACTCGGAATCTGAAAGTTACCACGAGACACTCATTCTGTTCGGCGCCCGCATCCTTACAAGGCGCCGTCGACCACCACCACCACTACTACCGCCGCCGTCGCCGGTCCCCAAAATCTGAACCTGTTTCTCGGTGGTGGCGTCTCACGGTGTCTTTTGGTTGAACGGCCGGGGGCGCGCACTCCACTGGTGTATGTAGGTGGTGGTGGTGCGCACAGGCCCGCGTGAGACGCCATTAACCGGACGCGCCCAGCGCCCAGACGGCTGCGGCTATTTTGTGCACGGGCTGCTCGCAGTGGACATTTAATAGCGTGCGCTTGGACGTCAACTGGGGTGATATCAGGACGGGCCGAGATTGGAAGGAGGAGATGCAATCGATAAAAGGACTGGCGACATACCACCGGCACCAAAACCGAAACAGAGAACGCCAATCAGGAGATTCGAGCTCGACCATATGTCGTTACTTATATAGGTTATTGCACCGGTACGTCCGTAGGTAGGCTGACAAATTTCAGAAAACCACTATTTCCTCTATACGGTCACTCGGCGAGCTCTTGTATGTGGTGCGTTGCCCGACGGTGGGTAAGGCTCGTTTTCAATGGGCGGGGGTGTATTTGATTGCCAGCGAAGATCGCAGATTGTTTTGTAATTGTGCCGGGGTGGTGTATGGTATGTGACCACATTCTCTGACTGGCATTAATACTTGGATTCCCGACTGTACGTAGAGTAAGATTATGAACAGGTGTGTTTTTGCGTCCGGTGCAAAATTGCACCCTCATGGTCGTGAAACCGTTGCTAATGATGCATGTTGTATACAACTTTTCCCATTCCTTTGGAAGCGAAGAGCCAATTTCGAAACATTCTCAATACCGAAGAGTGAGCAGGTGCCAGGTGACAAAATATGAAGATATCCATGGACTTTTGCACATTTGACGACATTGAAACCACGCAGAATCGAAAGTGCGCAGGCCAGGGCCAGGGTGCTTACTTATAGATTTTATTATGGTGATGCGCAATGATTAAGAGTACCGAGAGCATTAGAAGCTCCACAGTCCATGTTGGAGACAAAAGTACGACCATATTGATTGTGTGTCAAGTGTATGCGAAGAAAAGAGAACAGCAGAATAAGATCGGTGAGACACCGAACTCGCATGACAAAACCCGAACCATCGATGATGCAGGGTTGCACAATTCAACAGAATATCACTCGTTGATTCTAACAAGTTTCCTAACCTCGTCATTCCTGCATCAGGGTTAAGATCTTGAGTAAGAAGTAGTAGAATAACGTACCGTTTCAGATGCACATAGTGTTATCCCACGGAATATCCTATTCAGCCATAGTTGGTCCTATCTCCGCTCGCCCCTGTTGGCAACTCTTCAAACTTGGACTCAAGTGGCTTTCCCCGACCGTCCGTTGCTCAGCAAGACTAATCATGGGCCGCCTTGAAGCCTCCTCTGAACTTGATTTCTCGGTTCTGCTTGACTTCAACTTGTTGAAATACTGCCGGACCACTCTCTTGTCAACTTAGATTTCCACTATTGCATCTGGTAGGTATATCCTCAGGCTGCGTAGTTTGCTTCTCCAACAAATAAACGAACAACTTACTTTATGAGCGCTTTGGTTTGTTGAGTTGCTTACTCGAGGTCGGTGCATTTTGTATCAGCATGGTGTTCACTACCTTGGTCGCAAAGTTTTGGGTAAGTGCACTTCGGTCGGAGAGAGAGTCACTTGGAGAGTCACAATCTGGGCTGCCAGCTGGGCCCGGTAGAATTCCAGGGCGTCTGAGCAGGACAGTCTGTGGGACAGTCTAGAGGTCACAGAAGGAAGCATTTCAGCACATGAGCTATCGAAATTTCGAGCAGTCGGCTGATTAACGGATAGGCGACGAAGCCGATGATTAGAAGTAGATGAAGCGTGACGAAGCAGTGGAGTGAAGAAGAACACAGATCGCGAAAAGAACATAACAAACCCGTGGTGGAATCAGTCCGGATCGGGCACCCATGTCCATTTTCATCTGTTAGTCAGCAGCGAGTCACGTAACTACAGAAAATGTAATTGGATGGACACTGTCTTGGCACGTTTGACAATTGAAACGGCTTGACCGCGGTTACTCCGCTCGTCACTCGAACAAAGAAACCGAGACGCAGCATGATGAGGATAAAATATTTTTGGATTACCGGAAACCCAATGATATCCAGTTTTTATAAGAAAACACCGTTTAACAATAGAAAGAGATATTCTGGTTGCGTCCAATGGCAACAAACTGGTGTCCTGTCTAGCGAAGTCTCGGTCAGTTCATAAAGCTTAATATTGTCAGGCTGGAGATACTAGGAGTCACGTCTTCTTCAGTCCTTTGATGCTCATCATAGTCACTTGATGTTCCTTGCTATGCCTTCGGCGCTGCACAAACTATCTATCATCTGTCCATCCCCGCCAGCCTGCCCAACTTAACGGGGCAAAGATTGTTTCGGTACCCGAATCCCTGACGCACTCGGCAACCCCGTCCAATCTTCATACATACCCGTGCTGTTGCTCGACAATGACGGCTTTCTCCCAGACTGCTCTTCACTGTGGGTGCTGCCCTCACTGCGAACCGACGATAGCGGCCGCGTGTTAGTTCTCCGCACTGAGGACGTCCGTTCCGGTAGTGTCCGGCTGGACCGTGCGATACTCACCGTTGAGCCCGAGCTGATGGCCGAGCTGGCGCTTGAATACAGCGACGCGCTTCTGTGCAAAGTGCTATCGCTCCTCTCGTTCCTCCTGTCTCTGTCGCTTCTCCCACTTCTGCCACTCAACACACTGCCCTCAGTTCTCTCGCTTCTTCCGCTCATCACCGACGGCGCCATGCTCCCACTTCTCTCACTGCTTTCACCCACGCTACCCCTTATGTACTCTCTCCTCTCGCTCTCAAACGACCTTACGCGTCTCCCATTCCTCATCACCACCGGCTCCGGCGGTCGCTGTCGCGGCATGAGAATCAAGCACAACTGGCAGTGGTACAGTCCGTCGCGGTTTGGCTTTTGGTCACCCAGTGTGAAATTTTCATTGCAGCGCGCGCACGGGACGCGGCGCCAGTAGTCGCGTGAGAAAATGTGGGGCATTGGGTGTTGTGCGGGCCCGGGTGGGAGGTGGGTATAGTGGAAGTTTTTATAGCATGGTTGTTTGTACGGGCATCTTGATGCTTGAGTATTGGGGGTGGGCGCGTTGACCGGCAGAACATCATGGATGCGGAGTGTGAGTTGGGGACTGTGGTTCGGGTTGCTCGATATAAGGTTTTACAGATTCATGCGAAAGTTCCTGAATTTAAGCATTGTATTGGCATGATGCAGCCGATCTAACATCACGGGGCTGTGGCGCAGTGGTAGCGCGTTCGCTTTGCATTCTCATTCAGAGCCTGCGAAAGGTCTAGGGTTCGATCCCCTACTGCTCCATTTTTGCTTTTGTCTGGCTGTAATTTTCACGTCCTTCGTGTCTCTGTGTAGAGCTCGGTGGAGATAAGTGCTGAATAATTGATGTTGATGTTTGTGATTGACCACGTCTGATGAAAGAGTCATAAAGTGATCACAATGAAACGTTTTTTAAACATCTCGCGCGCAGAAACTTTTGAGTACAGCGTGGAATGTTTTAGAGCTAAGCGACTTATTGATCTATACTGGCCTAGCGGAATTTGTTCCCTTGAACGATAGATTCACATTTCCAAGCGTTAGACTGCAATCTTCACTAGCGCTTCTTCGTGATTCGCCTTCTCGCGCCTAATCCTGAAGCCGAGGGCTAGTGCAGGCAAGATGAGTTTTCTCAAGAACAACAGAGGTGGGAGTGCCCTAGTGCTTAAGATTTCTATGTATCGGCAATAGAATGATATGTGCACCTCTCAGCTTTTCAATCTTAGGTCTCCAATGCTCCAAATTCATGAGCTGTCGGTCATTAGAACAATCTGAAGCTAGCTCCCCGTCACGCAAAAAGCTAACTTTGAATGGTTTATGCTCAATAACGAGTTTATTATTACCCTCAAATCCATAGGTAACAGTGCACGGTTGTCCCCTTATCCTTCTCCAAACTTGCATCCTCATGATAATTCTTCCCTCCAACCAGTGCCCATTTCTCAGCTTCACTATAGCGTTCTTTCCGAGTTTTGCTTCCCCCTCTATGCTAGATGTCCTTTGGCTGCCGTTTTCTTCCGTCGATATTGACTCGGGCAACCCCGTTATCTCAGCCTTTGAGCTTTCTTATGAGAGTGTGATGTCTTTCTAGATAGAAGCAGAAAGAACCCCACTGTCTGCTTCAAGCTCATAAGGCGAAATCCACGCTGGGCCAACGGCGGCAGCCTGGTCTGCTAAAGCGCGATCCCGCTTAAATCCAATGGTAACAGCGTGCGCGCCCCTTCGTTCCATTCCATTACCACCGCCGCCGCGAGGCTTAAGGACATCAGCGCTTTCACGTTATGAGCGCGCAGTGTCGTGGAGCGCGCGCGCGGCTGGAGGTTTCCGTGGCAATGCCGCGGCGTCGAGAAAGGATGAGAAAGAGTGGCATTGTGATGTCGCGGAAAGGATGCTGGAGGTGAGAGCGCGCTTCTTTTGCACTGCTAAACGCGTGGAAGTTTTGTGTCTTCCAGGCTCGGAATGAGCTGTTGCTGGCCGTGGATGATCGGCGTCTGGCGTGGTTGTGAGAGAGGGAATTGTGCTGCTGTGGCGGCACGCACAGATAAATGGCAAGCGCGCTGCTAATGTTAGAAAGGAGGTGGTATTGAAGTGGTGATTTAATTGGACTGCTGTAGAATTTCACACGAGTACTGGCCAATGAAGGGATGAGAAAAGTGAATGGGGTCCTGGGTTTGGTTGTTGTGGATAGCACGCTCTGTGAAATGAATTAACACGTTTATTGATCCTGAATATGACCGAGATCTCCCATCAGACTTGTTTTCTCTCCGCCAAAAAAGAAAACCTGTTCTACTAAACTCCTCCCTTTACAAGCAAACTCAATAGCGAGATACCGTGCTGGAGCGCTGGGAATTCCAACGAGACGGCGGGGGTACCGCGCTCCCCTAACGCGGTACGGTTACCTAAGAACTGGGTTCCATGGATGGTTGTACATCGATAAGTACTTCCGAATGCTAAAATGATTACTGATAGCCTCGTAAGGCTGAAATGATTACTGCATAGCCTCGTAAGTATGACTACATGCATTATCGTTGACGCAGCTCGTGCTAGAACAAGAAAACTCCCCAAAACTGCTCTATGCGTAAGTCCTCACTTCTAGCGACCCAAAATCTTGTTCCCCCTCGCAAATACATAGAGAATCGCAAAGCGGTTATCGAGACTGGAGCGAGACATCTGTACGTCGTGTCTGAGCGCCCAGCGAACTTTAGAGGGCTTAAGATTGAAACAAATTTGACTAACAATGTGAGCGTCTTGCTTCTTCCAAACGCTAGTGAAGTTCTGGCACCTTCGGGTGGCCCATCCTTCACAAAATACTCATAAAGCCCGAAGTGTCGAAACGAATTGCACTACTTATGAAGAGAAAATTACTACCTGTCGAGTGATACGACATGCCGACTATTAGTCAGAGCTAAACCATTCCATCCCGAAATCATGCATTCCCAAGGGATACCGTTCTTAAAAAACAAATATATGGCAGCGGATAGCCACGTTGGATTAAGCTTATCTGTGCCACCTTCCGACCGCGATAGCCAACCCGATTAAGTAAGCACACTAATATGCAACAGCAGGTGGAAATCGTGCAGCAGGGGTGATGAATTTTACAGCTGAGCAATGTTTTGATAATCACCAGCCCCTCTTCGAATCCCCCCACTTTTTTCTTTTCTTTCCCCTTCATCTATCTCCAATCGCCCATTACCATCTATCAAAGGTAATCACCGGCCACTCGAACGACCCGCCTATTCGAAAGGAAAGAGGAAACGACCAGAGGCCCCTAGGTACGTGGGCTCTGCGATAAGATTATGTGATGTGCAGGGGATAGATTTGCAGCTAATTCTGTCACTTTAGGGACTTACTCATCGCGTCAAGCAGTAAGACGGTACATCCGTTGCTGATGATGCATCGCGAAGGTAGCGGGAGAGTGGCATTACACAATTATTTGAACCGACAGACGCTGTGTATCGATTCACTAGCAGGGTTTGCAAGAGGAAACGACCAGAGGCACGTCGGTATGTGGGCTCTGCGGTAAGCTTATGGTTGTGCAGTGGAGAGCTTTGCAGGGGAGCGCTTTGCAACTAATCCTGTCACTCTTGGGATTTACTTATCGCGTCAAGCAAGAAGACACATCCGTTGCAACTGGCTGATGCATCGCGAAGATAGCTGGAGAGCTACATTGCACAATTATTTGAACCGACAGACGCTGTGCATCATTTCACTGACAGGGTTTCAAGCACAAAAAAATCCGGCAAAGGTGTGTAATATTGGACTTTGTGGCCCTTTCATCGCTGAATTATATCCCAAGATCTAAATACATAGCTAAAATAGTGGGCGCCATAACCCGAACACCAAGACTAAAGAATAAAAAAACAACCCAGCACTATCGCGTCGTTTTTAAGATAACCCTAGCCCGCTGCCATAGCTTTCCAAGGGAGTGACAAATGGATGGACGTTTTTCCTTGATCTCTGGCCCCACCGGTACCACTTCTTGAGTTTCGTATGCCTGGATCTTGATTCTGATGTTAACAGTTGCAAATATGAGGACTGAGCTTATACATACCGGTACTCTGGTTTTTGTGACACGAGCTGTTGAGGTGTTATGGAGCACAGAGCACTGCATTGCTAACCCATTGCTGGTATTACCCATCCCCTCGTATCCCTCTTTCCGTTGCACAATCTGGAAATACAACCCCTGCCCATCTTTTCTCAATGCACGAGTAAACGCGCTGAGAAACTCTCCTCCACTAGGTGTCTTTTCGTACATGATTCTTTCATGCTTCAAATGTGTTACAAAGTTATCTGTCAGGCCGTACTTGTATTGGATATCTTCATAATACTTGGCTGGGGGGCTGCACAGCTGGGATCGCTCCGGGATGGCCGCTAGGGCTGAGAATATGTCGGTCGTGTGCAAAGCGATAATATTCATACCGGAAGCTGCTGCAGAGTGATCAGAATGGACCTGAAGACCTGTAAAACTGCTATTGGTGTGAGGCACGTTCAAGGCTAACCTCGACATTCCTGGTGCAGATATTGTCCATGCAGATACAAGACCGAGGGGATCCTGTACATCGGGAGCCTTCTTACAGCTCATGCCGAACACGGCTCGCCAAAACAACCCACAGCTCTCAACCATTGGCAGGGATTGCAAGGCTTGAGTGATGCCATCAACTCCCGAGTAGAATATTTGTTCTGCGCTCTTCTTTTCGAACGCTGGATCGACCTCAAAGTCCTGGCCCCAGAAGGAATCGGAATCAACAATATATGCGAGCATGTCTCCTGGAATTTGTATGGCTTCTATGTTGGATTCGGATGTCGCTAGACCGAGTTTCGGCGAGCGGATTATGGGGTAACCTAGTTCGGCGGCTCGGGAAATAGTGGAAGGTGCGGAATCAACGCGGATGGCCAATGCACATACTGACATGTCGCCATGTGTCGACCGGTAATGTGCTGCATGAGATACAGGCTCTGCATTCAAAACAACTGAGACAGCGCCGTTGTTCCACCACTGCACTTTTTTGGAGCGGTGAGCGCCTGCCTTGATGAACCCCAGCCCATGAAGAAAGCTCCCCATAGCTGCGATTTCGCCTTCCGAAACGGAAAATTCGATAAACTCAATTCCAAGAGGTTCGGAGGGACCGTCCCCGTCTAAGAACTGCAAACTTCGCATAGCATCTTTAGCGAGCTCCGGCAAGTTTCCGTTGCGAATATTGTCGCTAAACACCTCCAATGATACGATCCCGTCATATCCCGTTTTTCGGAGCTCCTCCATGAATTCTGTGATTGGCATTTCGCCCTGCCCGGGGAAGCTGCGGTAGTGCCGTGACCATTCAAGGACGTGCATTTGAAGATACGGGGCGTCCGCAAGCTGCACAATAAAGATCTTCTCGGCCGGGACATCGCCAAGACCGTCCACATTGTCGCCCCGAGAATAGATGTGGAAACTGTCTAAACACAATCCAAAGGCAGGATGGTCAACTGCTCGCACAATTTCCCATGATTGACGCCAAAGATTGATATGTGTTCCCCAAGCGAGTGCTTCAAAGACAATCCGCTTCCCATGGCGAGCTGCAACTTCAGCTGCTTCTTTGTATTGACTTATGGATGTCTCCAAATTATCTGTGCACAACTAAGTTTAATAGTTAGCGGGAGTGCACCATTTTTAACCGAGAGGGGAGCTCACGTTGGCTGGCTGACAGTTGCTTACCACCAAGATTGTATCACAACCAAGGTCATCCATCCATCTGAATTTATGTCTCAACCGTTCCAAAGCAAGATCAAAG